CTCTTGCCTTTTTCCTTTTATATTTTTACATTTTCATGATAGCAGGCAAGAGCAGAATTGAAATCCTCTGTGATTGTGAAACAACTGGAAAAGGTATGTGGGTCGGAGGGAGGGGGAGGAATTCAAAATTAATGTAATTTGTAAGTAATTGTAAGTAATTTGTCTGTGTGTGTGTGTGTGCGCGCGCATGTGTGTTTGTTTCTTCACTTAGAGGGAAGGGGGTAGGAGAGGCAGGGAGGGCAGCCCGCCAGCTTTCTTTCTCTGTGTCGGGGCAGTGTTTGTTTCTTCACTCAGAGGGAAGGGGGTAGGAGAGGCAGGGAGGGCAGCCTTCCAGCTTTCTTTCTCTGTGTCTTTCACCCGCCTCTGCTGGCAGGCTGGCACTTTCTTTCTTTCTAGAAAGTGGCTTGTTTCAGAAGAGGGGCAACCCGCCAGCTTTCTTTCTCTGTGTCAGGGCAGCCCGCCAGCAGAGGCGGGTCTTTTACCCACCTCTGCTGGTGGGCTGGCACTTTCTTTCTTTCTAGAAAGTGGCTTTTGGCCGCCCCGCTGCTATGTCCACGGGGCGGCCAAAAGTCGCTTTCTTCCTTTTTGCCTCACCAGCTATAAACCTCACCGCACGTCACTGTGTAGGAATGAGGATAAGTGACTTTTGTAGGACTGTTAGGTAGCATAGCTTATGATGGGAAATGCTCTGCAAGTAGAAATGGATAAAAGAAAGATCCAATCTCTTTTATATACAGTGAACTGAGGGTGTCTACAAATATTGATAGACTTTTTTGAGGAATTCTTGAGGAGTGGAAAGGAAGATCATTTACATTCTTTGTTCCCTAAAAAAAGGATATGACAACTACCAATATCAATATTCAAAATGTACATGTTGGAAAAGAATCTCAAACTATGTCGTTCAAGAGTGTGGTGCACTGCATTTGTTCTGAATTAGCATCATAAAGATTTTGTGTTGTTGCTTAGTAAAGAGGACTGTGAGTATCCAACTTTTGTGATGTGTCAGATTTGCTTAGTTGGACTTTGTAATTGCTGTCTTTCAGTAATTTGATGCCCTGCACAATTCCTCAAAAATTTGGCTGGGAACAATGGAATTTGTAATCTAACATATCCAGATAACATTATATTATGGCAAACTGTTTTATTTGCTCTTTATGAACTTATTTCAGGAAGTAGCCTGATTAACTCTAACTCTAATCCTAACCCTACACAACACAGATTTTATATTTTAAAGTTTAAGTAATCATTTGAATACTGAAAGGGAAAAAAATTAATACAAGGATAAAAGGTCATTTGAAGACCTGTACCTCTTTAAGTATTTGGAAACAATCTGTAATGCATGGACAGCCCAGACATCACTGATGGGGTTGCTTCCTTGATAAGCTGGCCGGTTCACTGGGTTTGAAGGACAAGGGCTGCGCTTGTTGTAGGGTAGAGCAGTGTAGGATTCAAGAGCATGGCTGGCAGGTTGAATGGGAAAGTGGGGAGAAATATATAAGGATTTGACTTTATGGGTTGTTTCCTATAAGGATTTGCAAATCAATATTATTTGGGAAAACAGAAGGTCAATGACTGTTCCTGACCTTTTCAAAATGGTAAAATGGTAGCATATCTTTGTACCTAGACTTAGCGCAACTATTTCCCAAATACTACACAAGGTGTGCATCATATTGAGCTACCAATAAACTACATACAGGGTTTGATTATGAGAGGATGAATGTTTTCCTAATGCTTTTTTTATTCCTCCTCAGGACCAAATATGTTCCCTCATAATCCATTAAGGTCAATTTAAGCAAAAGAAATTGAAGTGCAGTATGTTTCAATAAAAGATAACTAGGGCTTGTCCTGATGGGGTCAAATGGGTTACTTATTCCACATTTTTGTCCTCAGAGAAACTTCTGGCTGAACGCATAGAAAAGCAGGGAACTACCGTTGGAATTGTAGCTAAGGAGGCAAAAACTGGGCCTCTTTCCCAACTTGTTTGCTCATATGTAAGGCAAAAGCAATAGACTTCATGATTCCACAACCTGTTGGGCGTACAAACTATACCCAAGGGATAGCCAATCTATTTCACTCAAACTCTGCTTTGCTTCTCTTCTGAAATGCTTCCTATGTTTTTTCACTACCTGTGGACAGAGCTGCCTCTTATCAGACTGTTGCCCAGGCTACATATCTTCCTCATGTCTTCTAACATCATTCCCACATGCAGAATCATCCCAAATTGTGAAGTTAACTAATGTATAACTAAAAAAGTTGTATAAAATATACTTACCAAAGCACATCAAAACCACTATTAGCTGCCACCCGCTCTGGCATATGGAGAGTGTGTAATGGGTCAATAATACCCAAAGTAGGCTTAATGGATCTAGATGCAATGCCTAAATATAGAAAAATATTTATGTATATTTAGAAATGAGAACTTTCTAAATAGATTTTGCAATAATGGTTAAAATGATTTACACTATGCAAAATCATTTGACCCTTTCAAATAATTAAGAATATTACTGAGATTTAAATAAAATTTCAGGAAAGCAGTTTCTTAAAAAGCCAGGAGGTATTATAAAATTAAAATAAGTGCAAATGTACAACCCTTACCAGTTTTTACTTTTAGTTCTTTGTAATCAAAAATAGCAACTCCAGTGGTTTCACTTCCAGTTCCAGCTGTTGTAGGAACTTTTGAAAAGAGCAAATTAAATGTAATAGTACACTTAGCTACACATTACGCACACAATAACGTTCATCAGAGGTGGGGAATGTGCTGCCCTCAGGTACTGATGGCTTATTATATTTCAACTTTACTTCAAAAGCTGTAGCAACTTCATCTGGAATTCAATAGCACATATATGAATAAAAGGTATTTACTCATCAGTAAATCAACCAATTTATTGTGAACTGTCAAACAGCCTGTACAAAGTTGTCAGGTGCTATATTACATCCCAGTATTGGTCTTAGGAGCAATATAATGTCATGATGTAGAATCATTGTGTGAAAAATGGTGAAGACTAGGAAAAAATAATTCTAAAACAAGAGTAAGAAGAAAAACTTGAGCAAAATACACTCTTATAATGAAAAGTATCTGTTATCATTAGAAAAGTTCTCTACCTATGCAAGTATTTCCATGGTCTGATTTCCCCAAATAGCTCAAGAGAATCCAATCCAATTAGTTTACAAAACCAATTCAAATAAGAGAACTCAAACCTATCACATAAGCTCTATTGTTTTACAATCATCCCTCACCCCCAGTCCAGAGCTTTTCCTTACCTGCTATCAGAGGTTTGAGATGGTGTGTAACAGGCTTGCCTTTTCCAATAGGAGCATTGACGTAATCTAAGAAATCTGATCTTGGACTTGATGCATAGAGATCAGCAGCTTTACAAGTATCTATGACTGAACCCCCACCTACGGCAACATAGGAGTCAAACTCCCCCTTTTTGGCAAACTCAATGGCATCTAGGAAACTTGAAATGAAAAAAAAATCATTTCAATTTATTTTACACTTATCCAACTCACAATTTATAAAATACCGTGATGTGGAGTCATATCTAATATCTAGAGTGCACAGCTTCTCCATCTCTGCCTAATGATTCCAGTAGGCTGCACAAACGCAGGGAAGAACGAATACCTTTGGTCTGTGGGTTCCACTCTCACATCATCATAGATTTGGAAGTTTATGCCATTGACTGTCAGAGACTCTAACACTGCTGTCATGGGAGGAAGCTGACAAAGAGTCTTATCTGTCATCACACAAACGTTTTTAGCACCCCAATTCTGCAAGTCCTATAGTAAATGAAAATACAGTTAAAACAAAGAAAGTGAAAGGGGTGAAATCTGAAAATGTTGTTCCATCGTAAAATGCCAGATATTCAACTTGATAGTTGGCTGCCCATTGTAGGGCTCCCAAATTATCACTAACTTGTATCTTAATGTGGATTTCTGAAATGGAAAGAATAATTAACAGATTAACATGGTCTCAAAGGTATCTATTGCATCGTCTTTTCCAATTGGATACCTTGGATCCAGTTGGAGGAGTATAATAATTAATTCCTTGACTGCAATGTTGCCAAAACCAAATGGAGCCTTTCCAAATCAGGGTCTCTCCATATGTATTCGAGTTCAAATCTCGCAATCCTTAGCTGACCTAACCAAAAACAATGGCAGATGCAGGATATTTTATAATTCTGTTTCATGTGATATAGATACAATGTATGTAAAATTCTTCCTCTTTTTCAAAAAAGAATTAAGTAACCACTTTTTTTGAAATATTGGAAACTATTCTATACCATTCCCACTTCTTTAGTAACTCCCTCTCCATATCGGATATTGGAAACAGCCATCTGGAAAAAAAACAAACAACAACATTTCAGTAAAAATAGTTTATGGAAGTATGTGCACAAGTCACCTTTTAATATAACTAATGGAAATGTGCCTTTCAACAAGTAGCAGTTTGTTTAGTGTCTTTACCTCAAAGGCATAGTCTGTTTTCCCCAAAGCAATATCTTTAGTACCTGGAATGAAAACAATGCAGTTAGCTTGCTGTTTAGTTTATGGAAAACAGAAATTCTACTGGAATGGCCATTGCATTTGAGATTCTGTAATGTTTTAAGAATTTCACCATAGAGATGAAGGCAAATGTATAAAATGCTATCCCTGTCATGGAAACTGAAGCACATATTACAGCCATCATAAAGGCATTTCCAATCACAAAGTAAGCATTTATCAGAAAGAAAATTAGGTATGGTTTTCCCAGTTGCAATGTATGACTGTGAAAGTTGGACCATAAGAAAGACTGAGCACCAAAGAATTGAGGCCTTTGAACTATGATGCTGGAGAAGACTCCTGAGATCCCTTGGACTGCAAGACAATTAAACCGATCAGTCCTAGAGGAGATCAACCCTGACTGCTCTTTAGAAGGCCAGATCCTGAAGAGGAAACTCAAATACTTTGGCCACCTAATGAGAAGGAAGGACACACTGGAGAAGAGCCTAATGCTGGGAAAGATTGAGGGCAAAAGAAGAAGGGGACCANTTTTTGCTGCTTCCACCAGTAGGCTCCTCCCAGGAAGTCTCATTCCAGAGGATTTTTTACTAGCAAATTCCAGATTTTATCATGATAAATATTTGGTTAATAAATGTTCTAATTCCCTGCAAGTTTAAGAGAAACACAATACTCTGCTTAAGAATAAAACTTTTCCCACAAGAATATCATCACTTTTCCCTTTTTTTGTTTTTGTTTTACTTTGTTGTCGATAGGGTTGATTGTATGCTTTTGTTTCATTTTGTTTTTCTGTTTTGTATTTGACTTTTTATGATAAAACAATAAAGAACATTAGAGAAAAAAATGACATCTGTGTTGATCACAAGGATATTCAATTTTTGTTTATGTTTCTAATGACTTTTCAAAGTCAGATGCTAAACATTTTGTGAAGTGCTCCTTGTCCTGGCCTAATAAGAGATGAAATCCAATATCTGGAAAGCCATAGATTCCCATCTGTATTCTATCTGCTAAGAGAAACATTTTAATTATGTCTTCTTTATAAAAATTACCGTGTTTCCCCCAAAATATGACATGTCCTCAAAATAAGGCCATGCCACATTTTTCTGATGGGCAAAAATATAAGCCCTCCCCCGCAAATAATCCCCCTGGACAACCTCCCACCTCCAGCCAGACAGAGCGCTGCTCACCAACCTAGCGGTATCCCGAAGATACCAAGCCATGGGAACCGGTGGGGTGGGGCACCTTTTCTGTCACCACCGCCATCCCAGCATGGCTTTTTCAATGGCTTCCAAACCGAGTCTTCCAGCAGTGGCTGGGTGTACACTCTATGGTTGTGGGCCAGCTGCTGGCAGAGCATACAACCATAGAACGTACGCCCAGAATGGCCACTGCTGGAAGACTGAGTTTGGAAGCTGCCGAAAAAGCCACGCTGGGATGGTGGTGGCGGCGGCGGTAGCGGAGGTGCCCTCGCTCAGCAGGGTGAGCTGGGCCAGGGCATCGTGAGCCTGGGAGGCGCATGAACGAGAGCAGAACAGCCGCTTGCGCAACCCCCCTCTCCAGCCGTGCAGAGCGCCATTCACTGGCATTTTGAAGGCGCCAAGCCGCGGGAGCCAGGCAGCGGTGATACACATCAGTGAATGGTGCTGTGCCCAGCTGGAAAGGGGGTTTGCTGGGTGGCTGCTCGTGAGCGTGGTCGCTTCATGGCTATTGTATTGCACTGCTGAGATAGCACAACACAGCCATTAGCCCCTGAGACTGTGCCTGGCTCTTTGGGATGCCACTCGCAAGAGAGCAGCCACCGGCCACCCCAAAACAATAAACCCTCCCCTCAGAATAAGGCCCAAGCCATATTTTGTGAGTAAAAAGAAAATAAGACCCCATCTTATTTTTGGGGAAACACGTTATATCTGTGTATGTGTCAATAAATACTCTTATCAAGGAGCTGGAATTGGTGACTGCAGCTTTTGGAACACTACCTTGTTCATGCAACTTGCACCCATTATCAATTATGCAACGATTACAGTCAGTTAATTTTAGTTTGATATTGTGGAATATAATACATGAAAAGACTCTCTATATCTTGTTACAGATTATAGATAGGGTGCATATGTGTATATCTGTAGTACATTGGTGGGTTCTGGATCCCATTGCAACCATCCGCAACGCTCCGCAACAACTCTGCGACGCTCCAGTTGCTTGTTGGAGCGTCGCGCAGGTGCCGTACGCTCTGTGTGCGTGCGTGAAAGCCCCAATTGGCTCAAATACCGGTAAGGAGCGTGGGCAGGCGGGAGGGCCCTCCGGAGCACCGTACCAAAATGGTACCTGGTGCTCCCAGCAGGCACTAGTACACCTGTACCAGAGTGTACCGGTCGTATCCCACCACTGCATTTTACATAGTATTTATTACTCTGGGACAGAAACTGCATTGAATCTTGGTTGAAAAAATTGGATTGGATCTGGGTTCATCCAGACAAAATCCAGACAATGACTAGAAGACATCAAGGAATTAAGAGTTTCTTCAATCCTCCATCTCTTTGCTCTAATCCTCTGGTCATCTTAATGCTTGGAGATCAGATGTAGTAGCCTTAAGACGAAAGACTGTCCACGATTTCCTCTTCTGCTTTTACAAGCAATAAATATCAGAGGATCTTCAGACTCACATTTAATATACTAAGGTAAAACACTCCTAGTTCACAATCAATAGGATGCAATATTACAGAGCCAAGAGTTCAAGCCAATTATAAAAACTACAAGGCATCCTTGTTTAAATGGGAATAACAAAGAGAAACTGCTACACACAACAACCAATAATAATAAAATACATAACAGGATGTTTTGAACTTATAAAAGTTTTATTCTTGTACCCCTGCTTGACCCAATTGGTGTGGAGATAGTGAAATGGCAAACCAAAACATTCTTTACTATATTTTTCTCTCATGACAAAACTATCATTAATTCCAGTGATCACCACTAGTGAATGAAATCTGAATATCTCCAATTATAATCGTGTGTAAAAATAAACATGAATGTTGGAGTTCTTAATAGGAAATGACATTTACATATAATCCCCGTATAAAATTTTGAATTGATTTATCCCCTGAAATGAGAAAACACTGCTTAAAGTTTTTTTTTAAAACAAATTAATATAATTTCATAGATGCTTCAAACAGGGATGACAGCTCTTCTTCTGTTTGAGGGCGAGGGGATAATTTAGTCACTCTCTCCTATAAGAAGAAAAAGACTTTTGTAAAGTTCTAGGAAAAACCAATAGCTAGGTAGAATACAAATCACAGATAAGATCTGGCGCAAAAAAAAAAAAACTTTATTAGACAACCTGCCTTGTGCAGTAATCCTAATAATATACATTCAGTAATTTTATGATATGAGATGTTAGAATTTCAGTTCAAAGGGTGCAATCTTATTTCTTTTGGAACAAAGACCTTTTTAATTAAGTTTTGAGTTTTGAAAAATAGAGAAGCATATACATACATACATATATATATATAATGCTCTTTTTGAATATTAGATTCTGATTCATGTCCATAGTTCAGCAGCTTTATTCCTGTTCTTTTTTAGCCATGTGCTGAATAAACAGCCACCTACAGTGGATCTAAAGGGCTATGTAACAAATCTGAATGTTCAGTGGAAAAACGGACTGTGTTGTGAACTTTCTGAGACTCTGGAAAGTTTGAGAAGTAAGTTATGAGTGTGACATAAAATCTATGTGACACAGAAACAATTTCAGATGTCCTAAAGGCCAATTTTGGCTCATATTAGCAAAATTTAATGATCAATCTGAGTGTTAGAACTGGATAGAAAAAAATGACAAAAAACCTCATACTAGAGCTAATAAATTTAGGGAATTTGAGGTCCTTCAGATGTTGGTGACTTCTAACACTCAATATCCCAAGATACACTGCAAGTGATCAACAGTGATGGCCTATAGACTTCCCATTTGTGACCCTGAAAGAATAATAATAGCTTCATGTCTTTTTTCCTCATACCTTCATTTAACTCATGCATACATATGCACAGCTGTTTGTTATCAAATGTTGTAATGGGACAGCCATTTTCTGAGAATAAGTGTGATTATCATTAAATGTTCCTGGATAAGCAAATATTTACTTTTTTTTCTTTTTGCTCTCTTTTTGAGGCAGAACATCTATGCAAAAAAAAAAAAGGCCCTATAACAACTTGTTCTTTATACACTGCTGCTAAAAGAAGCAAACAATATTCTCAGAGCCAGCATGAAAATACAACAAATTAAGACCTGGTGGTTATTTTCAGAGAAATAGATCTGCAATCGGTCCTACCTGAGGCAGGGTGCCTTTGACTAAAGCGGGAATATCGGCTTTTGAATAACCAAGGGCAGCTAAACCATCATCAACATTGAGATCAAATAAAATTTTTCGGAGAGTGTCTGCCAGAATAAGCCCAGCATCCTTCATCTTGGCATTACTGATGTTAGCTCCTAAAAAGAAACATCAAGTTTGTAAAAAATAGTGTTATAACTTATCATATCATTGAAAGCTCATTGATGTATATCTTTACACATTAAAGAAGTTATTTTGCTAAGAACAACATCAACTTAAAGTTCATGAAATCACTTCTCAATTAAAGCGGTTTACAAAATATAGTCTGAGCTAAAATGGGGGGGGGAATGAGAGATCAGCTTAGCTGCCGTGAAAAATAGTTTGTTTGCCATTTTTGCATTTAGTAAGATCCATTATTTGGAAGCTGCCCAACCTAAGTTAAATCTCAGGTGTGCTAGACAATGGCAGCCAGAACAGGTGAGCAGGGACAGCTGCCGAAGTCTTGTTTAGAAGAGGGGTCACATTCAGCATTCCATTGTGATTTTGTTCTGTCACTTTAGAGAATTTAATTCTAACTAATTTAATTGAAATCTAACTCCTGTAAACATTCTCAAATTAATGTCTTTCCCCTTGCTTATTGGATCTATCTACTTTCATGTCTTATTTTTCTTTACCAAGGCAAGCTAAGGCAAGCTCAGTGCTGATATAAAGCAAGATGGAAACCTGTGTCTCCTATATTTTACTCACACTAAACTTTCTGATATGCACACGAAAAGAGTAGCATACAATTAATTTATGAAGTTCAAGGCTATCAGGAGATGTGTGGCCAACAGAGATTTGAATTTTAAAACTGAATTAGACATACACATGGAGGTGGACCTCTTAACATTGCAATATAACAGGCAACATAAGATTTATACAAGCAGCATATTTTAAAAGCTTGGGGAACACTAAGGAGCACAATCAAAGTGGGCTATTCTCTTCCTGCCTTATTTGTGTGCTTCTGGAATATACCTGGTTTTCTAGGCTGGATGGAATGAGCCTGACCCATCCATCCTCTCAAGGCATTACAATCAAAAGAAATGGAATGTTTTAACATAACATCAAAGTTGACCAGTCTAACCTCTGTTACCAGGCTAAATGTCAATGATCTTCCTTATATCAGTTCTGGTATTCTCCACAGTTCAAATGAGAACAGCTTTTTCATTTCCTAGGCAGTTTCCAAAATCAAATTGCCAGGAAAGGCAAACATTTATTGTCTCCATCTCCTCTGGCAGATTTTTTAAAAACATGAATGACTTTTATCATCAGACTCTTACCCATGATTTGGGCAGCTTCCAAGTGGCGCTCTGGACACATTGGTGCTGTGAAGGTAAACACTGCTGGAGAGGTGAGGATGACCGAAAGGCCATGTGGCTGGAGCAAAACAAAACAGCACATTTATTTAGACACATTACCAATAATCATCGATAGAATTCACTGAAAAATCATAGGAACAAACTTACCATGTTATCCCCAAAATAAGACAGGGTCTTATTTTCTTTTGATCCCCTAAATAAGCAATTGGTTTTATTTTCAGAGAGGCCTTATTATTTTTGAGATGTAGGAAGCAGTGAGCGTGGTTACCTCATGGCTGCTGCTGTGTTGCAATATTTTCGGGGACGGCTTATTTTCAGGGGATGGCTTATTTTAGTGTATGTGCTCAAAAGCCTGATTGGGCTTATTATCTAGGGAGGTCTTATTTTGGGGAAAGCAGGGTATATCATTAAAGACAAAGGACTAATGGGTATATTAAATTGTTACCACTAAAGAATGATCCACATTATAATCCTTTGCTTTATAATTCTTCACCAAACCGGAAATTGGATAAGACATGCCATGGCTGGAAAGAACAAAGAACCTGAATTAGTACCAAAATTATGCAATAAAGAAATCATGTAGGCAATTTGAACAGATACAAGTTGATAATAATGTAATTGTCCAGAAAAAGGTACAGAAAAAGTATCTGTGAGCACCTCACCTCCCAATCCTCTCAGCCAAAGTGTGTTTTCATTTCAGTTGTACAAAGACTGTTACTAATGGTGATATAATCAAAACCCAAGTGAATTTCTCTAAATTGTTTATTTTGAAGCCTTTTGATTTTTACCAAACATTTGTTTTGTTAGTGCAAATAAAAATGATGTACTTAACTTACCAAAGATGTACACCAGCATTTCCAAACCCAATGCCAGCAAAAGCACTTGCCAGATGCATGTTAAATCTTGCTTCTTGATCTTCTGGATTCTTTATGGCTCTACCAATAAGAACAATATTTTATTCAAGAAAACAGAAATGTTCATATGTATAAGATAGGTTCTTATAGTATGTTAAGTGTTAACAAGGTATTACTCTTCATTTTTTGATAGACAATAAACCCTTTTTTGTATCTTAGCAGCAAGCGTATTATTTTTCATGCAGAAATCCCAACTTCAGTTTCCTCAATCTGGTGGCTTCCAGCTGCATCATACTACAATTCTATCACTAGCTTTGCTATGTAGGAACAGTGATGTGCAATCAGGGGAGGCAGGGGAGGCAGAGCCTCACCACTGTCATCATGAAAAGAAAAGAAAAATGTAAAAGGAAAAAGGCTGAGNTTTAAAAAATGGTGTATTATTACTAAAATAGGTCAAAAAGGTGTTTACATAATCACCAGAAGTCAAACCTGATTTGATTTTTTATTAAATTAATGCAGTTATCTTGATTCCATAACAAAGATCTTTTTTTCTCTAGCAGGTTTAGTTTATGTTGCATAAATGTTTTATTATACAGTGGGATCACAATTTAGTAGGGATTGATTATATTATTGAATTGAATTATTGAATATTGACTATATTCAGCGGACCATCTTGCTGCAGTGATTGGTATAATTGGTATTATACCTTTTTTGGTGTGAATTGTTATATAGAACATAAACGGCTTCATCGGTGTTATTATTCAACTTATACAAATAGCTGTAACGACAAATTGCATATGTAATAGACATATAAGACACCATTGTTCCCAGCTAGTCTGCTAAAAAGAAGATGGAATGTATTATAAATATATCAATCATTTTAGGCCTCTCCATGTTGAAGAAATGATGTAATATTTATTCTTCTTCACCTAAAGTCATTTATAAACCTTTGAAAGTCATGTGTAACTGGAAGGGGAGCAAATGATATCATGCACATTAAGGTATTGTACAGCAATATATGAGCATTTTACATATATAATTTATGTCACTTTGTCACTATGGCTTCTATCTGGATCCTATGTTGATAAAATGGTGCTTTTCATTTTCATATAATAAATGTAAATAATTCCATTCCCAAGCAAATATTTGTATTTCAGAACACAGTATGTTTATTTGATGTATAAACTTATACATTGGGGTGTTGTGTGTATATATTAAAGAGAAACAACCTATTTTGGGATAAGTCCAACTGCTTATCATTAGTTATGTCCAAAGATTCAATTAAAAACCGATGTATCATTTGAGGGGATAGTTTTGTCCAAAAGAATTAAATAATAAAACCAAGGGTCCTTATTACACTAATTCATATTATGTTAACTGATGAATACATGGATTCACAGTGAACCTCCAAAATGTGCATTTATTAACACTTTTGTTCTTTCCGAGAATTGAGCATTCATATTATTCAGATAAGCCATGATTGTAGTGGAGTATGGCCAATTGGCCAGAATAGTACAGTAGTCTTTTTTGGCCCCAAACAACAAAGAATATCCTGAAGAAATTTTGGTTTGGAAAAGTAAGCTTGTTCCAACATGCAATTCTGATCAAAATGCCATTCCTCGTGGCTGCATATCCTTAAAATATAAGTAAAGTAATCACAGATTTTCTATACAACAGAAAATTGAACAGCTTAAAATAGAAATTGGGCAAGGTAACTCAAATTTATTATGTAGGATCAATAGGGGTAGAAAACAGGGCTATCAGTGGACATTCTTCCATTCTTATGATCGCTCCTCTTTTCTATACAGGTACAAGCAATGGGCTCTCATTCTCCATTTTAAAAACTAGAAATGTATGGTGATAAAACTGAAGTTACCCTATTATTATGGGGATGAATATTTCATCATTTTTTGGATTAGTCAAAAAAATAATGTCTTACAACTCATCATGGCTGGTTTTATACAGCGCACTGAGTCAAAATCAAACTATGTAATAATTTACAATACATGAACCAAAGTAGGATTTAACCTTTTATCTTTGAGTTATCCATAATATACAATAAACACTTGATTCAACACAACACTAACAGTGAGATGTCAGATTAGAATTTGTCATTTATAATAATTTATATCACTTCCATATTTACATAATTAACACAAATTATTTGCAATAAATCCTCAATTTACAAACCTTAGTTAAATGGACAAAACCATGAATTAATGTATATTAAGTCTATCAACTGCAAGTAAAGCCAGTGGTAGTCAACCTGGTCCCTACCACCCACTTGTGGGCGTTCCAGCTTTCATGGTGGGTGGTAGGGGTTTTGTCCGATTTATTTNTGGGCCAGATCTAAGCACTTTATGGGCCAGATCTGGGCCCCAGGCCTTGAGTTTGGCACAAACATATTTTAAACAATGAAAACTACCCTTAAACTAATACAGATATGTTTAAGAAGAATCCAATTGTCCTGCAGATTCATTGAAGGAAGGGAGTACATGTAGCTTACATTATCCATGGGGTGAAATTGGAAAGAAAACAATGTGCAAAGGAACTTATAATTAGAAATATGACTCACGTTAGCCAGCTACGTTTTCAGAGTTAATGACTTTCCCAAACCTTCAGTGCCTTCGCTTCAACTTCTGCCTTACTCATTTTCTTTTTTTATCCTTTAGGAGCAAGCTATGATATCAAGCTTATTATCAGACTGAGGGAGGAAAGCAGAATGGATTCAGTCTCTGCCTTCATCTTTAAGCTCTCAGGAGGCAGGAGAACAATAACATGTATATTCCAATTTATTCTCAAGCAAAGGACACATAAACCTAAATAAAAGAGAACACAGAATGATTTTTATTTCAAGCTGCAATACAAATCCATATATTTTCCCATTACAGTCTCCTTCTCTACGGACTGAAACTGAAACTAATCCTCTGAACAGAATGATTTGGAAGAAGCAAGAGAAAAAACATGTGAAAAATTATTCAGTTTTAGAAATATATTTTGAGATGATAGACTAACTAACCATTAAAGTTATTTAAAAATTGCTGCATTTATGTTTGCTTTATATTGCTAGTGAAGAACAATCATGCCTGCTGAAAGAAAAGAAAAAACCCCAGGATGTCAGGTAAATTATCTAGCCACTATTGAATATCAGGGTATATCTGAATTTATAAAAATAATCTAATGTTACTTCCTTCTTTTCAAATTCAGTTCAATTGATTTCTCTATAAAATCAAGCTATGCTTCTTGTATTGTTTGAAGAAGCTTTGTGCTATATATTCCTGATAATATTCTCTCCAGAAATATGTAATAAAGCATTTCATTCATTCATTCATTCATTCATTCATTCATTCATTCATTCAATCAATGATTGATTGATTGATTGATTGGTTGGTTGGTTGGTTGGTTGGTTGGTTGGTTGGTTGATTCATTCATTCATTCATTCATTCATTCATTCATTCATTCATTCATTCA